GGGTGTTGCGGTGTGGACGGGGCGGTGGAGCTGAGGGCAAAGGGGGAGGTTTTTGCCTCCGTTTGTAATCAACAGGGTATGATGAGGGAAACTGGGAAAGAAAAAGGGAAAAAAATGGATAAACAATAAACAAAAAGGACAACAATCAAAACAGAACTAACATTCACAACGGACCGTCACAAACCCTGGAACAGAAATGATTTTTTATTTTATTTTTAGCTCTAGTCTCTATCATAGTTTTATACTGCTCCCATCATGGACCTATGTGCTGATCTGGGGGGGGGGGGGGGGGGGGGGGGGGGGGGGGGGGGCAGAGTGTGGAAAAGAGGTTGACCTGTCAGGGTGAGTCAGGGGAGATGACGAAGGGTTTGATGATCAGATCTAAGACGGGAATTTAAAATGTTTGTTTGTTTGTTTTTCCTTTAAATCTGATTGGTTTGGTGGTTCCTTCTGATTGGTTAATGGAAATATATCTGTCAACATAACACGATCGTCTGGACTAAAAGTCTTCCTCCAGGGCAGGATGGTCTTATTAACAGAGAATGATTGAATCGATCTGTGTGTGAGTAAATTTAAACAACGGAGGCTGCACTACCTGGGACATAACAGCAGGTGGCAGAGGAGGAAACTAGAGACAGAAAAGACAAATGAAATGATAAACATTGACAAACACTGTTCACAGACTGTTGTTATAGAAGGAAATTATGGATATGAAAAAATAATAATAATATTCAGACGATGAAGACGTGGAGTTCTTTCACCAGTTTGGTTAAAAAAAAATCTAGTCCCTGTGTGTAAACTGCAGTACCTGCTCCTGGCCATGTGGCTGCAGAGTGGTGTCTGCAGTGGGAAAGCTCTGTGCTGTTTGTCGACTTTGAAGTAAAGTATGAGCTGGTGTAGCTGGAGCCTGAGCAGAGAGCATCTGTCAGAAACAGAAAGACAACCGTCAGGCTGAGACGTCCCAGAGAGTCGGAGGACGGTCCATTCAGCTGCTACTGCAGTGAAGCCCTGATCTGTCTACGCTGGTAAGCCTGCGTTTGATGCAGGTTAAAGTCCAGATTTGGTCTACGGACAAGTCCTAGCCTTTGGGCTGGTGGTACTGCCTATATCAGGGGTGTCAAACATACAGCCCGCAGGCTGAAACCGGCCCGGAAGTAGGTTGAATCTGTCCCGCTTGATAAATTTCATCTTCATGATGTTTTGTAAAATTATATTTTATTTATTGTAAAAAAAAAATAATTAATACAAAAACATGGACTTCTTGTTATTTATAGCTAATTTTGTTGTGCTTGTACTGGTCCAGTCCCTGAACCAACATGAGTTTGACACCCCTGGTACACCTACAGTTAACAGTTGAACAGACTGATGTAGGAAGAGAACTGCAGGACTAGTGTTAATGAGGTACATGGTCTGCCTGTCAGTGTCCCATAGTCTCCGTGTCCTCCAGGACTCTGTGAGGGACACTGTGCAGCTCTGCGGCTC